CCTTTCATTGTCCAGTTTCAACGTCCAGAGCATTGGAAAATACTCTTCCTCAGTTTCACATTCATAGCCCGTGGGTAGGGTGCTTCCTGTAGGACAGAAAGCCTTTTCCTTATTAAAGATGACGCTCTAACGTGTTAAAGAAAGCAACAACAGCCTACCACTTGCTTCATGATGCAAAGAAGGCGTCTTGTTGGATTTTGGGGTTTAGTCAGAAGGGTTCATGTCTTTGGGTATCCCAAGGGGCATCTAAGAAATGCTCATGACGGTTCCACAGTTTTCAGTGTCAATTTCACAAGAGTTTATCCTGTGTGAGAACAATTGTTGTTTGTGATGGCATTGGCAAATTGCTTAGAGCAGTACTGTTTCACAGAAAATACAGTACAAACCTCATGTGGCAGTGAAAACTTTCTAGTTGAAACATTTAAAAAAACAGTTAAACAGGTGAAATTAATTTTAATAATGTATATTATGTAATTCAGTGTATCAGAGGTATTATTTCTATATAATCTTTTTTAAAGATGTTCATGGTACCTTGCTTTTAATTTTTTTATTGGTCCAAAGTTATTAAAATTCACAGTATATTTTATACTGTAAGACATCTTCATTTGAGATCTGCCCCATTGGGAGCGGCAGTGCAAGAATGATATGCAGTGATCACCTCTTCGGCAGGGATGCAGTGAATGAACTCTTCAAGCCATTATTTTTTTTTCCACCCTCCCCACCCAAGCCATTATTTAATAGGCCTTTTAATGCCTATTAGTATCTTTAGGCCATTTAATAATTAGTGTTTTTATTTTTGAAGAAATGCTTTTCAGTAAAAGTCATGAGCTCTGTTTACAGAACCTGAGTAAAATTACTGATTTCTCTTTTGTTCTTTGTAAAATGGCATTCCCACTGATTTTGAAAAAAGAGAAACAGATTCTGTTGTTTAAGAGCTGTGAGACAACTTGAGTATATTCCATTGGCTAGGTCTCACAACAATACTGTGACATGGCTGTTGTTATTTGCATTTTACCTAGGAGGAATTTGAATGATCAGATGCATTAGCCAAGATCACTGGCACAGGCAAGGATCAGGATTAGACCCCAGAATAGCCTGCGTCTTTTCTGTGCTGTTTGTCACATCTCACCGCTTCTCCCGTGTCTTAGCCCACGTAGCTGTCATGAATGGCATTAAAAGCAGTGAGTTCTTTATGAATATGTGCTCATCTTCAAAAATAACGTCATGCCGAAAAGTGCTAATTGTCATCAGCACTAATGACAATTGGAAAAATGCATTTTTTTCTAGTATCACAACAGCTCCGGGCTTATTTTGTCTTCATGATATCAGCATTCTCTCAGCTGCCAGAACAGCTCTTGATGTTTAGGAAGCAGCTGAGCTTTGGTGCTGGTCCGCCAAGTTCAGCTACCTGCCTACCTGCTGCCGCTGTAAAAGGCTTAGAAGGCTTACCCTCAGAAGGTTCAAAGTTCTCTACTTGACCATCTGGAAATGGGTCTGTGCTACAATAAAGGAAAAGTAGTGTCATGAGCTCAAGACTTCAGGTTAGGGCAAGAGATTTTCTTTTTTATTTTCTACATTTTGTTGTGAATACATTTTGTTTTACATTGCTTTTTTTTTCATCACAAATAATAATCTTTTTAATTATCGTGTTGGTGTTTTTTCTTTACAAATGTTTCCTGTTCTTATTTATTTTTTGTTGTGCTTTTCAGAGACCTTCCTTATCTTTCAATCTACTGTCACTTTTATCTTCTTTTTTACTCTTTGCCCGAAAAGAGTGATGGGACCAAGTGTCTAAATATCTCATTTTGGGGGTATATTTTTTCCATTCATCTCCTTATACTATTCTTTCCTTGGGAATTTCCTGTTTTTAAAGACTTTTTAAACCTATGCCTTAATTTTCTTCTTCCCACACTTGACCTCAACTGTTTGGCTATTTTTCATGCTTCTTTCATTATCACCAGTAATTGCATCTGTTTTTCCTGTTTTTTCTTCTTTTTTAGAAATTGTGCTTCATTATAAAAACCATAATTGTTTAGTTTGGCCAAATTCTGGTAAGGAGGTAGATTTTTCCATAGGTTAAATGTAACCTGTTTGTGGTATCTTTATTGTCTCATATTTAAGTATATGAGTTCCAGAAGAAATCCTATCATCATGCATTTCCTATTGATATTTTGTTTTAATTTTATGAGTGATGTCAAAATCCTGTCTCCCTTTTTAAAGCAGATGATATTTATGGGGGTGGATGCTGGCGCTTTCTGTTTGACTTTAAGCAGTTACTACTATCTTCTCAATGAATTGCTTTCAGTCACTGAGCTAAAAATTTAGGGAATATTTTAGCCATTGGCAGGTGCAGGATGCAAGTTGGTATGTGTTACAGATCCCTGGGCTTTCATGTTATATTTTATATTTTTTGCATATTTAGCTGTTAAAATTATTTTTTAGAATGTATAGGGTTCTAAGTTTTTTCAGTTGATCATAGACTTGAAAAAGGTTTATGGTTCCTAAATAATGGACACATAATAGCTTATGGAGCAACTGGATTCATTTGAAGATCTTATCTGTGATTCCCAGATGTGTGACACTCAGATGTTGACATTAGGAACAGAACATGGATTTCAGAATCGAAACTTATGTACACACAGGTATTAGTGGTGAAGTAGCTTATGGCACTGCATGGCCTTAAGTGTGCTTATGCTTAAATCATTGAAGGTAGAAATCAGCCTGCTTCCTTGGGCAAAGATTATATACCAGTATGTGAGAGGTAAAAGGTCTAAATGGGGGCTATTGCCTGCGGGTAAGGACTCTCATGAATGGGCTTCATAAACTGCCTTTATGCTTGCTTAGGAGGATTTTATAATGCCTTCAGCTTCACTGAGGGCAGGGGTTACAATCAGGTCTGTTCCCATTTGTACCTGTGGAGTCACAGGTGATACCTGGTACATAGCAGCTATTCAGTGAATAAATGCGAGACAAGTGAATGACTATAGAAACAATTTGGAAAAAATTAATATATATTATTCATTCCATTTAAAAAATATATTTAGGAATAAACTCAGAAGAAATAAGAGTTTCGTGTACCAGCAGTGGTCACAGTTTCAAACATTTCATAAGGCATCATATGGCAGGGTTAAATAATCTTCTTTATGTGAGAAAATCAGTCCACTTGTATTTTCCCAAAAATCTATACTGCAGCTAGTGTATGTGCTACAGACAGTGGTGTGGCTTTGTTGTTCTCAAGAGTGAGCATTGAGTCAATGGCTATCTCAGGTAGGGAATGGTGTGACTTGTTAGACTGTTGTGCAGTCTTAATAATAATTACCATGATCTTTAATGATAACGATTCTTAATGAGTATTATTATTGTTAATAATAATATTTAATAATTACACCCAATACTTATTATCTTTAATAATAATAATTAGCACATGGGAACCAGTTATACCATTGTATTATCTTTAGAACAAAAATCTAAATCTGTGACCCAGTGGTTTTCAGTATCTGCTCCTACCCTCTGCTTTTCAGATTAGAGTGAGTCTGGAGGCTTCTGCACAGACTGCGGTGGCTGCTCTGTGTCAGGGACCATACTCCCCTGCAGCTGTCTCACGTAGGGGTCTCACTTTGATTGTCAAGTGGCTTTTTTCTCCTCACCTCCCGTCTCTCTAACCCATCCTTTGTACTGCGGGTTTTTGTGTACCAAGAGAATACCCAGAACAGACCCTTATTCTGTAATACTCATTGTGTGAATTACATGGGGCAGAGTCCATGTTTATTACTTGTATGTTAGTGAAACTTTGATCTTCTTCTGTCTTGGCTATGTTTAGATTAAGTGCCTGTATGACTTTTTTAAAAATAAAAAAAAACAGTTAAAAAAATCTTTGGTGAATTAAACATTTTTTAGCTTTTCACACTTTGATACAAAGCAGAGAAATATTTCAGTGACAACAGATTTCAACAGATTTTCAACTAGACTAATTTGCTTTATACTTTAGGGTAGTTTATTTCTCTTCTCTGCAAACACAAGAAAAGATAGTCCCTTTCAGTCAAAACTGGTGTTGAAGTATAAAATAATGATTTAAAAGAGATGAAGTTTTGTGTTTGTGTATTTTGACACAAGTGTTAAAACTTTTCTGATCAGGATATTTTCAGTCTAATTGATGACCTGTTTATCAGAAGTTTTCAAAAACACACACAGGAGTCACTGCTTTTTTTTTTTCTTTAAGATTTACTCATTTATTTGAAAGGCAGTGTAAACAGAGAGAAGAGGCAGAGAGATCTCCCATTTACTGATTCATGCCCCCAATTGCCTGCAGCTGCTGTATGTATACCAGGCCAAAGCCAGGAGCCAGGAGTTCCATCCTGGTCTCCCATGTGGCGGCAGGGACCCACTGCTTGGGCCATGATGGGTGGCCTCCCAGAATGCATTCACAGGAAGTGGATTGGAAGTGTCAGGTACTGGGACTTGAATGAATGCTCTGAGATGTGATGTAAGCACGCTGAAGTGGTGGCTTAAACTTCTGTGCTACAATGCCTGCACCAGGCAGCACTTCTTTAACTTTTTATTGATTGCCTTACACACATTTACACAACACGTTAGGCCTTGAGATCAAAATGCCTGTCTACTAGGTATCTGACACCTGGAAGTTATGAAATACATTTCTAGGCAAGAGCATATTTAATCTGAAAATACTGGAGGTGATTAGCAGTTCATGATAAACCTATAGACCTTAAAGATTGGAGGTCTGTAAGATCACCTTGAAACACACAACTCAGAGGTGTCCTGGGTTGAAGGACTGGCCTCTAAGATCTTCTGCCACTGCCCTGGGCAATTGTGCAGCACCAGCAGAGGGGGAACCCAGGACTCTCTGTTAGGCCCAAGAGGCTTGTTAAATCTAAACCATTGCTGATCACAGACGAATGACTTTTATAACTTTCCTTCTCACTGTGCTGACTGTGATTCGCTGGGTAATGTTTGCGCTTTACTCTTGCATTCTGTCCTTGCAGGTTTGATGATTCCGGTGTTTTGTGTGGTGGAGCAGTTGGACGGTTCTCTTGAATATGACAACAGAGAAGAACACGCTGAGTTCGTCCTGGTGCGAAAAGACGTGCTTTTCAGCCAGCTGGTGGAGACGGCACTCCTGGCCCTGGGCTATTCCCACAGCTCTGCTGCCCAGGCTCAAGGTAATCACGCAGACCCCTCCTCCCCTCCAGGCCTCCTGTGTTCCCTGAAATAGTTCTTTAAAAAAGGTTTGACGGAGAAATGTTAAGTTAGCATCCTTCTTAGGCAGTGAGCATCAAAAAATTTTTCTTGCAGCCTTATTTTCTTGTTATTTTGGGAAGCATTTGATCAGCACCTCTAGAACTACCCAAATCGACCTGCATTTTAAAGAATTCATAATTCTGTCATTTTCTCTAAGTCAGCAACGTGGCATTTCAAGGCCAGTGGTAAGAGGTTTGACTCCCACCTTGCCTGATTCAACTTTCTAAATTTATTTATTGTTTTGGGCCTATGACTTTTGTACTTTACAGTCAACTTTTAATTAAACAGGAAAAAAAAATGAACGCATCTTACTGTTATGTATCTTTGAAAACTCTCCTGTAACTCTGATGTGGTCCATTCATTTAAAAAAATTGCAGTGTCTTTGTAAACAATTTTTTAATCTATTTAATTAATTATTAAAATTGTGTTATTATTTTAGTGCCTATTGTGCAACGCTGGGGAGCTCATTTTGAGCATCTGTTGTTTCATTCTGAAGCATAACCCATTGTTCTTTTATGTCAGAGAATTGACAAATAACAAAAATGACCCCAAACCTTGAATAACGCAAAATAAATTTTTTATCCAATGGAATTATTATCCTTGTCTTTCAGCTGCAATGATTGAATTATATAGTTTAAGGTTATAACTGATGGAGAGAAATATATACACACACACCTTGTAGGTCTTGTTTTATGTATTAATGTTCTATATTACCAGCTTTATTTAACATGTCCATGTGTGCCAAATTTTTTTTTGTTGTTTATTTTGTTTATTTTTGAGTTTTTCATACAATTTCTAGGAGCTCTCAAGCAGAACTTCCGTTTATTCCTCATTTGTGATGAGGAAGCTCTGAGAGATTAAGCATTCATATAAACTAAAAAAATTACTTGTATGGTCACCAAAGACACAAAGTTTAAATTCTCAAGCTCTTGACTCTGTTTTGGTAAGCAGATCATTGCTTCTTAAAATTATACTTCCGGTTCACTAGGAAGGCAGCCCATCTGAAACCAGGGTGGGTCAAGGAGACTTTCCTGCATCAGGTTGAGCCGGATGGGTTATTGCGGTGTGAAAGCATCTGTGTTGCAGTGCTGGTACAGTCTGGGTTCACTGCTGTAGCTGCTCCAAGGAGTCTGATGCTTTCAAAGCAGTGTGATAAAGGGTGATTCATTTCCTTTCTGCGACGACTTTCCTTCTTGTATGAGAGATTGAGGATTTGATCCCGAGCAAATTGCATCCTGGGCACCGTTGCTTTTATTTCATGCTATGTGCCTAAATGAAATAAAAGAATCACCCCTCCCTTTCCCCCATAAACTTTTCATGCCATTTTAAGGATATTTTTCTCTGAATGTAAAGGTCATTGTATCCCACTGCTTGTATCCTGGTGTGCCAGCTTCCTGTTTGACAGGGCTATCCATCTCAGTTAGCACGGCTGCTCAATGCGTCGTGAGCTCACATGTGGAACACAGAGCACTAAGTGGCCAAGATTTGATTCTTGGCACATGCCGAAGGAAGGGGCTCTCAGGAAATTTGCACTAGGGAGTCACAGCCTTCCTTAGGGATGTGGACAGAGAGTTCTGCTTACCAAGGTGAGAGGGACACGCAATAAATATCATGCATGGTGGATGGTTAAACAAGGTACAAGTCAGTGGTGATTCTTTGTCTCCTCAAATTTTCTGAAAATTGGGGTTAAAAACATAATAAATATTAAACATTTATAAGTTGAGTCAACATGCAGAATATGCTCTAGATCTCAGTTGTTCTTTATTTTGTAAGCAAGTAAAGGTATTCTCACCAAACTCTACTATAATCTCACAGAGAAAAGAAATCACTATCTTGTTTTAGTCTGCTGATCTCTGCTCTGGATAATGCACGAGCAGAATTGTTTATTTTGACATGACTGTATTAGATCTTTGTTATTAAAGTATACCATTTAAACAGAATGAATGAAAAAAATCGGTTATTCTTGGGCTGCACAGTCAGCATCGGAGAGGAAGAGCAAACAGGAGGTAGGACTCAGCATGACTTTTTGATGCGAGGCAGGAGGTTTTGTTGTCATTTTCTTTTTGTTTTGGTTTGTTGTTTGTTTGCTTGTTTGCTTAGCAGTTATGTTATTCCTCAGGATGGGAGGGAGGGGGACTCGTCGCCAACCTCCTAGCAAATGCATTTTCAGGGTAGAAACCGCAGCATTCCTTAACCTTTTCTTCCTGTACTGGCAAAGTTGGACAGAACTATAGTGCAAGGATAGTGCATTATTTGGTCCTGTTTTTAAAAGGCTGGGGATCTTGAAATGAGGTTTTTCATTTTGACATGACAAGAAAAGAGTTTTCAATAATTGAGCTGGAATAGTATTTCAGCTTGCCTGTGAAAAACATATGAGTAATGCCATTGTTTTGGAATGGTACTCAAGTCCCAAGGACAAGGCGGGGAACCCATGCTCTTAAAGCATGGGCTACTCAATTTCTTTTTCTGAAAAGATGCACCCTCCAGGTGAACTTCAGCACTTCTATGAAGAATGAATGCTTGCTTGCATAGAGCCTTGGAAATTCTGCTAAAATGGAGGTCAGGGATTACAGCCTTCCTGGGCAAACCCCACCCTGCATTAACAGGACCTTCTATTTCAAAGCCAAAAATTAGAACCTGAGAGAGAATAAGGGCAAATCGTACTCTCATAAGTCATGAGAACTCCCCCTAGTTGGCCCTACCTAATATGCATACTTAGAATATTTTGAAATGTGGGACGATTTGTGCTTATGAAAAAAGCTGAAAAGTTGGTTACTCTTTGCTTTTCCTTGAGTGAGAAGATTAAGGACTACTGAATGACACACACATCTTAGTCTGGCCACGGACATGTGTCTGTAACATGTTTCTGAGGCATTTGTGTACACAGGGACATTACAGTCCCCCTTCTTCATGTGAAAGTTACATTTCCATTATTTTTTTTTCTCATTTCTTTTTGTTCTTTCATTCCTGCCCACTAAGGCTTTCAGTAATAGCCATGCAGATCCCCACACTGTCCGGAGAATTCCTTAGCCCATGGATTTAGTTATGCAAACTTGCCGAGGTGATGATGGACTTGGCTGAGATGGCAAGGTGATACCTCACTGTGCACATTTGATTTCATTTGTAAATCTCCCACTTTCTATAAATTTTAAAGAAAAATTACAACTTATTGCCAACCAAATAATTTTGTTTGAAAACAAACATGCTGGGGAGTAAGTAAGCAAAAATTCTTGTGCTGGATATTTTTGAGATTGAAATTACAGGTTCAGGAAGAAGTATGCTAATTAACATTATTTCTTATGTTTGAGTAATTGTATTTATACAATCAACTTGAAATGATATTTTTTGAAAAGTGATGCAAAAATGTATTCATTAAAAAGCGGCACAAAAATGTTTTCAAGATATGCAAATTGAAAAGTGTCAAATATAGTCTTATATAAAATGCTGCATATATAGGAAGACAAAGGAACTGTATTAAAATGTCAGTAGATGGTGTTATTATATCGAATTTCCTTCTATCAGAAAAAGTATATGTCTGAAGTTCACAACATCCTTTTATTTTAAAGAAAAAAATATGTATTTTGTATTTTATTGGAAAGGCAGATATGCAGAGAGAATGAGATACAGAGGGAAGGAGCTTCCATCCTCTGGTTCATTCCCCAAGTGACTGCTGATGGCTGGAGTTGAACTGATCCAAAGCCAGGAGCCAGAAGCTTCTTTTGGTTGGGTGCAGGGTACCATGGCTTTGGGCCATCCTGCACTGCTTTCCTGGGCCACAGGCAGGGAGCTGGAAGGCAAGTGAAGCAACTGGGTCATGAATCAACACCCATATGGGATTCTGGCGCATGCAAGGTGAAGATTTAGCCACTAGGCTGTCACACTGGGCCCTCACAACATCCATTTGAAGTGAGTTTTCGTGTTTTCCCATTTCACTGAAGAAGAAAATGAGGTAAAGAAAGAATGAGAGTAACTTTCCCCAGGACACAGGTTAGTGGGTTAAGGAACCAGGGACTGCAGCCCACTGAGTCAGGGTCCTTAGCCACAGAGCTGGCCTTTGAACATCTGAACAGGCTACTGACCAGCACCTGTGGAGTCAGGGTCCCTAACCACTGAGCTGGCCTTTGAACATCTGAACAGGCTACTGACCACTACCTGTGGAGTCAGGGTCCCTAACCACAGAGCTGGCCTTTGAACATCTGAACAGGCTACTGACCACTACCTGTGGAGTCAGGGTCCCTAACCACAGAGCTGGCCTTTGAACATCTGAACAGGCTACTGACCAGCACCTGTGGAGTCAGGGTCCCTAACCACTGAGCTGGCCTTTGAACATCTTAGCACTGCAGCTGGATGTTGCACAGGCACCAACTCTTACTTAGTATTTATTCTTTGTGTCGTAGTCCTATAATGCAATACTTTTTGGATTGGGTGCTTACTAACTACCTGGTAGTAATATATATTTGATAAGGATAACATAGACGTGTTGTTTCCGTAAAGAAATATATAGAGTTGCTTTTTCAGTCTGACTGAATAGACATCATTGAAAACCAAAAACAAACAAACCCGCCAAAGAAGTTTGCCTGTTGAAGCCAACTTCTAAAACTAAGTAAACAGTTAATTGTAGATTAATTCAAGTATACAGTTTTTGCTTATGAGGTAAGAATAAGCCTGGTATGAAAAGTGCATATTCCTTAGCAATTCTGGCCTTCAAATTAATTAATTCAGCAATATGAAATGCCTATCATATGTCAGTCATATTCTAACTTTTGGAGATAGAAAACAGAAAAAAATTCCTGCTTTCCTGAACCTTACCTTATAAGTGACTTTTTGATCTTCGTTGCTCAAAAATAGCAAATGCTGAAGCTTGGAGTATGTAAATGGATCAAACATTTGTTTATAAGGATGGTGCTAATTTATCACTAAA